CTGCCTTCCATTTCTATACCTATATTTGAAAAATGAAAATAATAGTTAATATAAGTGAAATTAACTGCTCAACTCATATCAACATTATATATGAAACATATATAATAAGAATTATTTTGATAGATAAGTCAACGAAATAAATAATCAAAGAAACCCCTACAGTAACAACAACAGATGAAAAGGTTGAGGTTTCAACAACGTTAGCAGAAATATCAAGCCAATTAGAGTACATTGTACTCTAGCAGGAGTACAAACATGGCATAAACCTCAATTTATTAAACCACTACAGTAACAGCAACAACACTAAGACTCAACCCACAAAATTATCAACAAACAGAAGGTAGTAGCCAAACTCAAAAAATTGTATACCTCTCTTTATACTATAGCAAACCAAATACACAGAAGAATTAAACTCAGCAATCACTACCCAACAATATAATTAAAAGGAACAACAATAATTTTGAATAAGCAAAATTGTCAAGAATGGGTTCTGGAAACTTTAGTAGGTTGTCATGCAACCGTAAAACTCTCTTTAAGTCTGAGTTGAAGTCATTTCTTACCCTTTTTGCAGAACCCATGGACTAAAGCACCGGAGTTGGAGAGAAATGGTTTCATGGAAAAATTCAATCAGCGTCGATGTCGGCGTGAAAGTCTAAAAGTTGAAGCACTCGTGACTCATGGACATTGTCAATCGATTGCGTCGGCTTCTACGGTGTCTTATATGGAAAGAAGAGGGAAAAAAGTAGCAAGATTACACGGTGGAGGGATTTGCAATTTTTTAGGGATTTAAGGTTAGTGTTTTTCGATTTGGGGGTTTAGGGATTGCATCGTGTTTTACAACTAATTACTTAGGGGGGTTAAATGCCTTTTTTTTTTTTTTTTTTAATTTTTAAACTTGAATATAACACTTCAGTCCCCCACAGTTTATAAAACTCACAAAAATAACCCTGCTTATATGAGCCACCTCAAGCTCACAAGCTTGTCGAACTGAGCCTCCCCCTGATCGAACTCGGCTTGTTTTATATGGCGAGCTCGAGTCGAGCCGAGCCATAAACAAGCTTTAGACGAGTCGAGTCGGCTTGCAAACTACTCGACTAGTTTGACAGCCCTAATTAGAAGTACATATGATTCAGTGTGAATCTAGTAGAGATTTGTACTAAGCCTAACGGGTTGATTCTGGATCAACGAATGTAAAAAAAAAAACAAGTGATAACACAAGCCAAATAGTTTTCAAAATGGTTCGGATGCTTGAATGCAAATCCTGCATCCACTGTTTTTGTATTGTATTTCTTGAGTAGCGATTTGTTTACAATGAATTACTAGTGAGTTTTTTTATAACCTAGTTTTTCCGTCCCCCAAAACTGATTATCATGGGGTTTATATAGGGCCAATTACATGCTTGAATTGAAAATAAACACTAAGTCCTTAAAACCAGAAAAAAACTTGATCTTCGACTTTGATTCGGGAGTTCATATCGCAAGATATCTCCTTACCAAAGTGGGAATTATCCTTGATTCAGGAGTTCAAGAGCATTCATTATTGGTGCATTCACCTAAGGAGCGACTAGCTCATTCCCTAACTCAGACAAGGTGTTCTTCCTAGGTCGTCCTTAGACAACTTGTAATAGCCTCTTTAGTCTGGGCAACTGTAGCCTTGCTTTTTGAACGAGATTTGGTATTATGAGGCATGATTAGTGTTGCACAATCTTGTAAAGAAAACTAGATCTGCTGAAATATGGAAAGCTTGGCGAAGGCCTTCATTCTAGCTCTAAAATGTTGATACAGTGATTTGCACCGACGAGAAGTATGCAGGATTCTAGACGAATATACACAGGAGCCTGTTTGAGACCCAAAGATTTGATGCAGAATCAATGAATGTAAAGACAAGAAAAAATAGAAATAGAAAATAGATTTTTAAAGTGGTTCAGATACTGAAAGCAAATCCAAATCCACTATTATGTTATTTGCGCTTGTGTAATAAGCTCACAACAATGTGTTTCTTATGAGTATTCTGTAACCTAATTCTTTGTCGTCCCCCTAAAACTGATTATAATGGGTTTATATAAGGCCAACTACATGTTTGAATTAGAAATAAACACTATATCTTTTAAACAAGAAAACAACTCGATCTTCAACTCTCATTCGAGAATCCATATCACCAAATATCGCTTTACCAAAATGGGATTTGTCCTTTCCTGACTTGTTGCACAACGAATTGGAAATAAAACCAAACTTTGATAGATTAGGAAAGCAGTGTGATCTTCGGCCTTGATTTTGGAAAGATATCTTCGCACCAATCTAGGATTTATCCTCTCCGGATTTTCTGCGCATCATTAAATGGCTTGACATGTGGCGCAAATCCATGCTCCGTGATTTGTCGCACAACAAAATTAATGAATGTTTCAAAATGATATAAATTTAAACTTAAAAAAAATTATTACTATAAGACTTAATTTCATGAAATATAACAAAATTATAAATGAATTTTTTTTTTCATAAATAGTATGTTAACAGGTTAATCATAAAACTTTTTAAGTTTTGAGTTGATTTCTAAACTTAAAAAGTTTAGGCCCTTTTAACAGGCAATCTATAAAATAATTTGAAAAAACAAAATATAATTAAAAATTTTGAGTTTTAAATCAATATTTTTAATATCTAAAATGTGTTTAATATACTATTTAATAAAAATATATTTAGAGTTAAAAGACATAGAAAATCGAGCAAAGTGCATAGTTTAAGTATATATCACATTAATTATAGGATTGTATTTAAAATTATTATAGGAAATATTTTAACAACATGTTTAGTAATATATATACAGTAGAACCTCTCTATAATGATACTTTGTATAAGAATAACCTCTATGTAGTCATAAAAAATTCTGATCTCAACTTGGATAGTTATAAATAAGAATAAATTTTACATTATAATAAGTTATAATTTTTCTAGATCCCGTCTTAAGGAACTTGCCTCTACATAGTAATAATTATAGATATATTGTAAAACATATATGCTATATTACATTAAATATTTAAGATGAAATAAAATGTTTATTTACGGTTGTTTGAGACAATGATTTATAATTTAAAGTTGTTACAATATTTTTATCTTGTAGGTATATAATAAGTAGCTAACATTGACACTTTCATGTTGAAGTCAAAATATTTGTAGCTTCTCAAGCATATTTAGAGCTTCTTGGCATAAAACTTTTGGTATATTTTTGTATCTTTCTACTATTATTCTCAGGATTATCTCCTTCCACTTTTTGTTTAATTTAGTAATTGTTTTTTCTTCAGTTAAAACATACACGACTTCTTATTCATTTGAATGATTGAGGAATATATTAATATCCATTTAATTAGTATAATGAAATTATCGAATCTAATCACTCAATTCATTTGTACTACTAAAACATGAATTATAAAATAAGAAATCGAAAAAATAATTCTTGTAACTACACTTCTATTAGGTTATAACATTTTTATAACAATAAATTTAGTTGGTTACAACCTTTTGACTGTAAAAATGTTCTATTGTATATACATCCATAATGTTGGTTATTGAGTATATATAAAAGAGTAGGGCTATTTAAGTCTCATCCAAACTCTTTTGTAAGCCCCAAAATCAATTAAAATAAATAAATTTTAATTTATGAAAAAATTATCTTTTTTTTTTTCTAATTCTTTTTAACTTCTTTACTTTCTTAATCCTTCTTAACTTCTTTACTTAATCCTTCTTAGCTTCTCTTATTTCTTAATCCTTTGAACTTGTCTTTTATTTAGTCATGATTAAGAAACAACAGATAAACAACGATGATTTGTTGAAGGCAATCAAATAATTTATCCTAAAATTATTAACAATGCAATGAAATAAGAAAATAAGTTCAAATAATGTATTTCAAGTAAAAAAAAAAAAANGCGACAACCGAATTTAGACGCTAAAAATGGCTTAGCGTCTAAATGTGACTTTCTGCGTCTAATTTTGCTAGACGCAGAATGCCAGTTTTCTTGTAGTGATTGGAGGGGCAAATGAGTCGGGAACCAGGGGGGTTTTGGACAACGGACTATGGGGAAGGTGATGGAGGTGACCAGGGGGTTCGACGTCATCGGAAACAGCCCAGATCGGGCTATTTCCTAAGAGAGTGTATAGTGACCGAGGGTGTTTTTGACATAATTTGAAAATAAAATAGTAAGTTTTGTAATTCTACTAATTTAGGGATTAAAACATAATTTATTAATTTAGGGTTAAGGACATTATGGTAATTACATCCTCTAAACCCTAAAAATTTATAACACTATTACTTTAAGTGTGAGAATCTAGAATAAATAAAACTAATAGTACTACTTGGGGTTTCGTCAAACCTTATGTGAGAATCTTATGTGAGAATATGTCGTTTACTCTTATAAATTTTATATTTCATGGCATGGATTACAAGTCTGACAGCCCAAACCATATTCAGGCTCACGATCAACCCATAGAAACAGACAAAAAAAATAGATGGGCACTCAAAACGAGTACATGCTCAAGCATCATTGACCAACTCCATACCAACTGCGATTCATTTCAATATGAAATATAAATTCAAGTGATTCAATTGCTTTCTAAAACTCCATTATGGAGCCTTCAAGGATTCTGGCTTTACTGTACCCGCAAACACTTTACTTGATCATCATATCTAACTAGGTTCCCTTTTAGAGGCATGTAACATGTGGGTTGCAGAATCAAGCCGGGGGCATTCCAATGGCAATAGCTACCGCAAGCAAGGCATAAAGCAAAGAACATAGTCATATCAAAACTTCCTTTACTTAGTCATAAATGAATGAATAGTACAGAAATAAATCTTCTACAAGGAAATCTATCATCTAAAAAAAAACATAAATAGATAAGTGAAACATATAGCAATGCTATTTCCTTTAACCATTCATTAATATTATGGGTGTTTAAAATGTGGTCAAATTGAACTAATAATAATGAGATGCCAGGACAGCAGCAACAACAGCATCATTCATTAAAATCGATCGCACGAAGTCCACCCTTCTCTAATTCATGAACATCATCAATAGTAGTCACACCAGGTGAAGCAACATCATCTTCAAGAATTAGTGACCATTGACGCTGCTTCCAATACCTGCAGAAGAAATACTTTAGTTGGCTGTGCAGAATGAATTTCAAATAAAATAAGAGTGAATCACATTTCCCCAACCCAAAGTTTGTCATCATGACTATTCCCACCCATAAACTTTGAAAAAAAACATTTTCTCACCCATCGTTGGAATCCAGACGCTAGTTTTAACGGTTAAAGGTCATTCTCGTCAATCTACACAAATATTATTATAGGGTCAATATCACTTACACCCCTAAAATACAAATAGATGAAATTACCTTCACCAACTTGGGAATTAGTCATTTAAACCCGTATCTTCAATTTCTATAATTATAATAGAGTTTTCACTTGTAAAGTATGTGTGTTTCTAAAATTTAAAATTATATATATTTTAAAAATTATAAAAAATCTTTCAATTAAATATTTGTAAAATATATACAATATTTCATTAAAATTGTATATATTTAATAAAACTATATAAAAATATGATTTCCAAAAATAAAAAGAAAAAAATTTAAAAACTGTAAAAAAGAAGAAAAATCCGAAAATAAAAAAATTTGAAAATTTGAAAAAAAAATTAAAAACTGAAAAAAAAAATAGTGCTGGAATGGAATAAAATTTGCTATTTTTAGATGAAAATGCCCTTATTATTAAATTATTATATATATTTTTATTTTGTTAGACAATAAATTTCCTTGAAAATAATTTAGGCAAAATAACCTAATAATATAAATATTTCATAAAATATATAGATTGAAATAGCATATTCTATATAGAACTAAATTTATTTTTATTTAATAATATAAAATGTACTATTTTATTTAAAACGTTAAAAAAATTATAAACTTCAAAACCGGTAAACGCCAATCAAAGTCGTCGGACAACAACGTTCTTTCAATCTTCCGATGTCGCTGTAGAAGACTGAAGAGTCTATGACCATCAATCTGACGATCTAGGCGGACATCGGCTGCCAAAGACCGACGTATTGACATCATGTGCAATAGTCATATCTTTCGTCACAGCACTTGACGTCAATACGCCAATCTATGACGACTGATGTCCTACCAGATCAGAGGTTATAGACTCTTCACTAACTAGAGGTGACGTCGGAAGAGTAAAAGAACGTCATAGTTTGATGGCGTTGATCGGTTGCAACCGGTTTTGAAGTTTTAAAATAATAATAATAATAATTTGTTAAGTAAAATAACATATTTTATATTATTTTTTTAGTTTTTTATTTTTCAAATCTGTATAATTTTTTTATTTTTCGATTTTTTTAAAAACTGACTTTATTTTTATTTACTTTTTTAATTTATTAACCCTAAAATTAATATAAACCAAACTAGGGATAAAAAATATATTTAACAAGTTTTGGCAGGAAAATGTTATTCAACCTTGTTAAAAATTACAAAATCAAATAGGAAATAGTATTATATAGTATTTTTGTTGCTTTACCATTGTCCGATAATAGATTCCATTAATGGAGATTGATGATGGGTTGGAAATTAACTTTTTCAAAGTTTATGGGTGGGAAAAAATATGGCAAACTTTTGGTTGGGAAGTTGTCATTCACTCATAAAATAATACTCATGCTGAAGCTTAAGAAAACAATTACATGAAAGAGCAAGAAACTAGAAAATACATAAACCCAGAAATATACAACTGAAGAGAAAGAAATGAAAAACTCACTTCATAAATTTTACTCATATTCAAGTCTGAAGAGATGCTAGATGGTTCTAAGATATTTATATATAAACTATATAAATAATCACATTAAAAATAAATAACATTATAATTAAGTAAACCATTACTATATAGTATTAATGTTCTAATAAAAATAACATAATATATTATATCAATATTAAAAAGTAAGAAGTTTAAAATAAGTCATAGCTAAAATAATTAAGGAAAAAAAAACTAAATTGTAAAATAATTTCTAATATGTCATAGCATCATTTATTTATGGACGTCTCATTTATTCCATTTCCTTTCCTCAATGATCATTAAGATTCCATTCCTTTAAAATGAGAAATAAAAAAAATACAATAATTTCAATCTAAAATATTTTATATGTAATCTTATAACGGGGAATAGAGCGGGTTCGAGGTGGGGAGTACAAATTCATCCCCTCTCCATTTCAATATGGAAAATTAATTTGCTCTCCAAACCCACTCCATTCCCTAAATTACATACCACCCGACCCATGGGGTATTTGCCATCCCTAGAAATACAGCAGTTCATTATAGATATTACCTTAGTGTTGATCTATTCCAATACTAGTGAACATGGAAATACATATTCACAAAAGTTAATACTAGTATTTATTATCCTATAATTAAGGATATATTTTAAAATCAATTATCCCATGAGTTATTAGAATATAAAGTTCATAAAACTTATGATTAATTATCATAAGAAATTCAATTTCATGATACCAACTTCCTCATTGTGGGACAGACCCACGTTGTGCCCAACGTGGCTTTTTTAAAGTTTTGTATAAGGCTTTTAAACAAAATTGTACTATTTTGACCTCATACGCATTATAATGTTAAAGTATTTTTGTATAATATGGCTTTAAGTTAATAAAAATTACTTCAAAAATTAGTTAATATAAGTAAATCTTATATCTTTCTTAATTTTATCATTTAGATCTTTAGATTGAAAGAAAGATTTAAAAAAATCAAATCATATATAAGGATTAATAACTCTAATGACTATATTGGTATTAATATCATAATATTAACATAAATATAGTTTAATGAATTAAGTATTAATATAGATGAGATATAATTAAACTGATTAGTTATATATAAAATAAAGAAAAATATTATGCATTAATTAATGTTTATATTTTAATTTATCATTATTATTATTATAATATATAATTGCCCTCACTCACAAAATTGGCAGGGTCTCTCACTGGTAGGGGGACAAGTTAAGCAATTTAACATAATCTTAGGAAAAACTTAGTAAGCGGAGTTATAAATAATTAATTTTCATTAAAAACCAAAAAAAAAAAAAAAAAAAAAAAAAAAAAAAAGCTACTGACATCAAATCTAAAAACTTTAACCCAAATACCGTCAAATTTATAAACTTTTTTCAGTGGGGTCACGAGCCCCCACTGGTCCCTTAATAGGAATATCAATGCCAATTATTTTTGCTCTTTAGTAAAACATTTTGGTGCAATGTTGACATTGTCTTTGTCTCCCATGTTGAAACTTCTCAGTTTTAGTTGATTCTCGTATACTTTATATATACTAATAAGTAGGGGTGTTCGATTCCGGGTACCCTGTACTTTTTGAAGGAATAGGAACCAGAACCAGAACCAACGGTTTCTTGAAATTTGGAACCAGAATCGGAACCGATGGTTTCGGTTTCTAGATACCCAGAACCAAAACCTGTAACAACGGTTCCGATTTCGGTTCTGGATACCTGTAAAATTATAAGGACCCCCCAAAAGTTTTTAAAATGGCAAAAAAAACCCTTAAAAACTTAGAAATACCCCCCCACCTGGCACTTGTTAGCAAAAATAAAATTACAAATTATAAATTCAAAATTACAAACTCCATTACTTTGTAAAGGTAGATTCTCGAAAGTCAAACCAACTTACTTTAAATATTATGAAATATAAATATAAATATATTCACATTACTTTTTCTACAAAAGTTTTTATTAACCCTCATAATCTTTAATTTTATTTTATATTAGTCTCAATTCCTGGTTCCTGGTTCCTATTCCTCACTATAGGAACCGGAACCGCAACCGCACAGTAACGGTTCCAAAAATTTAGAATCGGAACCTACCCATTTACGATTGGTTCTGGGTAGGAACCGGAACCAAACCCAGGGTACCCACCAGTTCCAATTCCAACCGGTTCTTTTAAACACCCCTACTAATGAGTGCAAGCATTATAAATCCTATAATGTTTCACAATTAAAGGTGAAAGATTACTTGATAGTAAAGTCATATCAATAAAATCACACCACAGATTTTATTCAAATAAGTAACAACACACATGTAATAATTGCCTCACAAAAGCAAATACATTGCAGATAAATGTAATGGTGTATTAGCTATTTTTAGTTGGCAGAAACAATTGATAAGTCTGAATAACAATAAAGAAAAGTGCTAAACTTGCAGCAATAAAAGCAAGCACCGTCCAAGGGATAGTGAAATGAGTATGCAACCACTCTGCCAACCAAATATTCAACCTGTTTTTGTAATGCTTTTCTATTCCATTTTTAACAACCGCATATGCATGCGGGTGTGACACTAAATTATCAGCTATCTCATTAAAAAGATCAGCAACTTGTTGATCGCTACCCAGAAAATTCAGAAGTATACCTTTTGACCGAAGCTCCTTTACATCTTCCGCATGTTCTAGAAGCGAATTCATCAGGCATATGTATGAAGAAACTCCAAAATCGTCAGGACCATTGAGGCTGGACTCGTATGCTACCATGTTTAGCAGCATGGACTTTGTTGAATCATCAATGTATATTGGTGGAAGTTTCAGGAATCCTGCGAGATACCCGGATTGAAAAGCAACGTCTGTGAATCTGTTAGTTTTGCTAGACCTGAAGTGGATTCCTACCGCATTGAGCTCCTTCGCTGACCGGTATGAAAACCAGTCACTGCAATCGCGAGGAGGCGGTTGAGTCAAAACGGTTTTGTCGAAGAGATTGGTGCGAATGAGGTCTAGAAGATGAGCAGGTTCAGACTCAAATTTTCCTGCTATTACATTCACATCTTGTACACCTTTTCTTCCCCCAAAAGCTAAATTACTAAGAAAATTATTTATGTTGTTCTTGTAACTTTGAGGAGGAAGACTACGAATTTGTGTAACAAACTTATTGAACATTGTCTGTTTGCTGCTTTCGTCTCCGAATTTGGACTCGAAGCTCAATTCATTGAGGAGTTGAAAGGGAATTTGATTTTCCAGTAAGAACAAGTCTCGTTGAATGAGAGCTATCATGTTGTTTTTCATCTTCAAAGCCTCTCGTTCTTCTCTTGCAATGTAGTAGATGAACTGGAGGAGGAATCAGGCATCAAGAAACATCATCTGAGAGAACTCCTCATTGTTGAACTTGGCGACCGAGATCTGGTCAGTGTAGCATTGTTTTGCAGCTTCCGCCACGCGCCTGACCTTCTGATACGACTCTTCCAGCAACCTCAAGTCCCCATTTACATACTGGCGCGCCATTGTAAGTTTGTGCTGCTGCACTAACTCAAGCCTGGGATTTCCAAAGTGGTAAGGACCGATTGAAACCACCAGAGGATCATAGCAACCTCTGTTTTTTTTAACCACACGAAGCATTGCTGGAACTCTCTCTATTTTCGTCCGGATCACCTCGTGCGGATTCTTGAAGCTTTCTCCATTCACGATATATTCAAGCCACTTTTTTTCATTACCAGAAACAGGAACTACTGTATTGTCACCATTTATATGGACTACAATACTCTCTAATGGAGTATCACCGCCAACTGCTAGGCTGCTGGAACCGGCTTCGCCTTCTCTTTCTCTCATTATTACTCTCTGTAATTAAAACTACATAAGTATGGTTTTGTAATGTTAGTTAATTCAAATTGATTAAATAAGTCCTGAGATTATAAATTTAATGAAACATACCAATTGTAATTGACGGGCTACTTGTGATTTGGAGCAAGCATCTCAACTTTCCGTAGTTATCAAGCTTGGAATTGCTGCCAACTTTTTTAGGGAATAAAAAGGTGAAGTCACCTGCCTCAAGATTCCTTGTTAGAAAGTGAGAATGATATACAAAATAATTTATTACTGCTTTCGAATTTTTTAGTAGCTACGTCAACTATCTTTTATAATCTTTTGTTTAAAATAAGTTTCTTTTAATTTATGGTATAGGGGAACGGCCCCCAGGCCCCATCACAACCACAAGATGTTCAAGCAATCTAAAGCTGGTATTTTTCTAAGTATTTTCAATCGCATTTAAAACAAAAAAATATTACAATCATGCAACCTTTCATGCTGGTAGAATGGCTGTAGCCACCCATCTGGGTAACTGTTTTCTACCGAGTAACTCCATGTCATGAATCATTTATAAAGATCAAGAAAAGTTTGAAAATACTTTTCATTCTAGTTCAAAAAAATAATAATAATAATAAATAAATAAATAAATAATAGCTACAAACTACAAAGTTACTCTTATCTTCAAATCTTAACATTGAACTTGTAATATTAGAAAACAATGATGCCTTTAAAATATTGCTTGTCACTGTTGTAGATCCAACATCAATGTATTCTTTCTATACGGAGTTGTGCTACATTGCAAGATACTGACACCTAAAGTACTTTCTTTATTTCAAGTATGGTTTGGTTATGTTATGATCAGTTTACGCAAATGAATTTAGCAAGTCCTGAGCTGCTTATAAATTTGATGAAACAAACCAATCGTAACAGTCTGCTTGTGATTTGAAGCAAGTATCTCAACTTTTCTCTGTTATCAAGCTTGGAATTGCTGCTGCTACCTTTTTAAGGATTAACCACGTTTGAAAGTAAGAATAATTATGTACTATATTATTCATAAGTGCGACTTTGGAATGTTTTATAATCTTTAGTTCGAAAAAGAGTTTCCTCTAATCTATCCTATAAGGTGATGGCCCACATCACTATAATAATATGTACTAGGGGTGAGTGGATCTAGTACCATGGTCTACAAGTAAGAATCCTGAACTTTATGTATAGTCTTGGCTTCTAAGATGAGTAATATTACACTTACAAAGAAATTTTAAAAAGATCTCTATACATAGTGATGTGGCAAAAAATGAATAGAAAAGTAAATTTAATGAGTTTGACTTTTTGTTTCACTCTTTCATTCATTTTTTGCCAATTTAATGAGTTTGACTTTTTGTTTCACTCTTTCATTCATTTTTTGCCACCTCACTTTGTATAGAAATTTTTGTAAGATTTCTTTGTAAGCATAATATTATTGTTCTAAGATTTAGAAACTGGAACCCACCCTGCCAGGACAAGTTCCTACCCTGGAACCTACCCAATAGGGTAGGTTTCAATTTCAAGGTACCTTATATTGTTCAAAAATAAAAAATATAAACCCAGAAATATAAAACTGAGGAGAAAAAAAATAAAAACCTCAATTCATAAATTTTACTTTATTCAAGTCTAAAGAGATGTGAGATTGTTGAAGTGCAAATGAAATGCAAATAATATGTTTCCTTAATTGTGAAACAATATTATGTTTTTTTATTCTATGAGATTTTAGTTAGTATTACAATATTATGTTTCCTTATTATGTAGCTTAATTTTTGTATAAATAGGCAATGTCGATTCAATTATAATCAATTCAATATAATTGAATTCACTAAATTATCTTCTTCAGTCTCCTTTGCTCATAATTTCGACATGGTATCAGAGCTTCTAGGTTGAATCAGCTTCCACTCAACTAGCCTCTCTTTTGTGTCCTTGCAATTCAAGCAGATACTTGTTTAGCACAATATTCAGCTAGCCTATTTTTCTGTCCTTGCAATTCAAATAGATTTTCGATTAGATTTTCCGATGGCAAACAACCAAAGCTCAAACTCTGACATAACCACCAACATTTGTATCTTTTATGCAAGCTTGTGGTTTTTAACCATAATGTTGAGGGGGAGTGTTGAAGTGCAAATGGAATGCAAATAATATGTTTCCTTATTTTAGGAGATTTTAGTTATTATTACAATATTATATTTCCTTATTATATAGCTTAACTTTTGTATAAATAGACAATGTTAGATTCAATTATAATCAATTCAATATAATTGAATTAACTAAATTATCTCCTTGAGTCTCATTTGCTCATAATTCTTGACAGAGATGGTTCTAAGATATTGGAAAAACTATTGAACACAATTGTTTCAAGTTATTTAATGTGCATTGTTGTTGACTGCTATGTGATCAAATTCGCTGACGTGAAGATTGTTGTGTCTTTTGAAATTTTATTTTTAACCTCTTGATTAATGATTCATGTTTTTCCTTTAATTTTCTTGAATGATTGATAAACTTGTTTATGTAATATTTCCTTTCAATTCTGACTGACATTTTCCAAATCCCTTTTTGATATTCTATTAACTGGAAAAAGGATTTTATTATCTGGTTGGTGTACAGGAAATTGTTGATTTGGAGGATGAATACAACCCAAGTGGCAGGAACCCCTTGCTGGAGCTATGGAATTATGGGGAAGATAGGAAGGCAACCATGAAAGAATTTGATGAAACAGTTGAAAGGGGCTAAACGAAAAAGAATCTGGGATAGCGGTAGAGTTAAAATGTAGAAAAAATTGAAGTATAGATATAGCAATTGATACTGTTACAGTTATAATTCCAATTACTTTTTATTTTTTTATTTTTTTGGGGGAAATGTCCACTTCTAATTCGATATTATAGTGTTTTCAGGATTTGGGAAAAATGTCCACTTCTGATATGTGGAACGTGGGCTTGTGAATTTCAATTATGCAGTGTAACTTCATCGTTTTCTCATTTAGAGAGGAAATGCACAGGGATGGCAATGGGGCGGTTCGGGAGGTCTTCTCCATTCCCCATCCCTTTAGGATTTTGGTCTCATTTCTCATCTCTCTCGCTAAATTATTTAAGTGGGGCGATAAGAGGTAATCTCTACGTGCGAGTGCGTTCCCCAAACCCACTTCATTTTCTAATTTAAACTATATAAATAATCCCATTAAAAATAAGTAACATTTTAATTAAGTAAGTGATTATTATATAGTATTAATGTTCTAATAAAAATAATCATAATATATTATAGCAATATTGAAAAATAAAAAGTTTAAATAAATCATAGCTAAAATAATAAAGAAAAAAAAAAACTAAATTATAAAATAATTTATAATGTGCGATAACATCATTTATTTCTCGATATTGTGTGTGATTTTTTCATTAATCTCGGAGAAGTCAGAATCCCGTGAGGATATAGTTCGACCCATAATCAGTTTGGCTCAACACTTTCTGACCCAGCATAAGCTCGTTGAGATATAACTTGACCCAGCATAAGCTAGTCGTGACCAACTCTAGCAATTGTTCGACAAATCACAGATAAGCTCGAATCTCGGATATTTTGGAAGAGATCATATCAACAGTAATGATGGCGCGATCTCAACGCACAATCACGAGAATATTGGAATTACGATTCGAATTTGATTGTAATCCCGACAATTTCTCTCTTTCCTTGTTTATAAACTTGTATATAAACCTCCTCCAACGGTAAGAGAGAGGTTAGCAAATTGTTCTAGGCATTATATATTTCTTGTAAGCTCTCTAAAGCAATAAGAAAACAGTTGACGTAGGCTTAAGTTCCAACTTACCGAACCACTTTAAAAATTGATTGTGTTCTTTATATTATTATGCATTCATATTCATTACAATTGCTAGTTATCTTTAATCACGCACACATCAGTTCCGATTTTGCCAAGGTCAATTGGATCACTCAGGTTGGTGTAAATTTTGCATCAACATTTTGGTGCTAGAAAGAGGCCTTCCGCCTACTTTCCATATTTTTGGCAAAAAACAAGCAATCTCAGTGAACTGATAACCTGAAATTTCCATTGGTTCATGCAAGATAAAAAACAACCACTAGGAACAACGACAATGTGGAAACCGCCTATCAGGAGGTGCATTAGATCGCTCCTCCAAGTCGACCACCAATGCCACTAGTTCAACAGGTCACAAATCAGCAAGAAGTAGGGACTTCAAATCTTGAGAATGGCTAGCTGATGGAGATGATAAGGACAATGGTTGTAGAGGCGATGCAACAAAACGTGGTTGAATTAAGAAACGAGCAGTCTGCCAACCGGGACCTCTATCAGCCACGCTGCATAGAGGTTACTCCTACAGGTCGGAATAACTCTGCTGGCGACCAATCTAGTTCGTCGACACCAAGAAGCGACAATCACCCTCGACATCGTGGGGTGCCTTCTGCTCACGAGCATGAGTCTC